GGGCGCTCACCTCCTCCTCCTGGTGCCCGCGTCTGCCGCTGCTGAGGTTCTGGGCTGGGGAGCAACTGCTACCTCCCCGGGAGTTTTCCAGTTCCCGGGCCAGGTTGTGGAAGTCCGTGGATGGCTTCGCGCTGCTGCCGCCGCCCGCGGCGGGTGGGTTGGTGCTCTCGGGGGAGGGGACCGGGAAATGGTGGATCGGGCCGGCTTTACAGAACTTGGGGCCCGGACCCAGTGGCGCCTCTTGTTGCTGCTGCTGTTGGTCTTTGCCCCCGCCGCCGCCCCCGTGGTCCTTGGTGCCCACGCCGCCGCCTTGCTCGTCTTGGGGACTCATATCAGCGCTGTGAAGTCTCTTGGGGCAGCGGAAACGCAGATGCGCCACATAAGGGAACTCAAACTGGAACCGTTGGCTGCATTCCAGGCATGTGTAAGGGGACGACCCTGCTTGGTGAACAAACACCACGCGCACGCACACACACACACAGACACACGCACGCACGCACGCACACCACATGATTACTCAGCATCGCCCCCATGCCAGTTTGCCATCATCCCCGTTACAAATTCCACCTTCATCTCTCAGGGCCCAAGTGTCCCAGCAGTGAATACACTGTCCAACCTGACCTAACTTTCCCTCCTGATTTAGGGGATACACAAGAATCAAGCCAAGCGTCCCCTGATTTATCCAAACCTATGCATCCCAGCTTCATTTCGGACTGTATCTTAGAAGCTTCCTAAGAGATGCCTAAAGTGAGGACAGGCGTTCCCACACGCGGGTTGAGCCCCCAATGCTTCCTGCATCTCCCCTGCCAGCGAAGGGCCCACACACAGGTCTCGAGCCAACCTACCATTCATTTTGTTGTGGGGTCTAGAGGGACAGAGCAAGAGTAACTCAGTCAGTTCTTTCCCGTACCAAACTAGTAACTCCTCGTCTTTGGCAATCCTGCGGAGAGAGCGGTAGAACAGCTGTCCGTTTTTAATGTAGGCTTCTAGGTTCTGCTCCTCTTTATCTCTGGCTGATTGGACGAGTCGCAGCCACATGAGCCCTTCTGAAGAACCATTTGCCGCTGAGGTGTCAACCTACAGTTTAAAGCAGAAGAAAGAGGACAAGAGGGGGAGAAAGACCATGTGAGGGAAAGATGCCAAAGGAATCAGAGCATTTTCTATAGGTTAGTCTGTTCCAAAACATTGTCTAGACCAAGCGACCTAAGTTGAGAAACAACCTTATGTTGTAATCTGTAGGCAAGATAACCACCCCCTGACCCACTGCACTAGGCATATAGACGATTTAAGCAATCGTTTTTTATATAGTGGCTGAATATCGAATGAGGACACATCTTACAATGTGTTAAGCTCCTGAGCATTTACTTCTACATTATCTCGCACTCTGAAAGCATGGGGAATTTTGTCTCTTTCCAAAGCGAAAACCCAAGATTAGATCTTAGAGGTTATGCTGTGGCACTCATCTTTCTAATTTTGGCGTGAACAATTAATAGCCTTTTCTTGTAAAGAAAGAAGAGGAACTGAGAGGCCCTTTTCCTTCAAACTCAGACTTCAATGTAATGATAGTTTACTGCCCAGACTATTAACACTGGTATTTAAATCCAAACATCAGCCACTGTCCAATGTTATAAAAGTCGAAATATTTAGGAGATGAGGAGGCCTCCAAGGTTGGAAGGCAAATGTACCCCACATGTGTAAAAGAACTTACAGAATATACTTATGTAAATAGCTTCATCCTTAGTGAAATCTCCCAAAGAGTTTAGGAAATCTCATAACTGGGGCACTGATTTAGACGTTTGTGGAATTCCAAATCAAATCTTGGTCTTTATTAACAGCATAGCAGCTGATGAGAATCTGTTTAATTTTCCTTTTCTAAGTTTTGCTGTATAAAATTGGATTGCTTGCATTACTGTGTTCTCTAATATCATCAAAACCTGTCTCTGCTTGTCCTTGGGATGATTCTTAGTTCATTTTTCACTGGATATTATTCTCATGCACCTACACAGCCCCGGTTGAGACTTACCCGGAAGATGTAAGGTACGGTTCTCTTGTCGGTAGACTTGAGGGCTATGAAAGCTATGCTGTCGTAGAGGGAAGTATGGCTCAGAACGCAGGGACCAAAGATAGCATTCTCAGGGATGTCGCAGGTGGTGTAAACACTGGTAAAAATATCTGTCAGACACTGCTGGACAGCCTTGGCATCTCCATCCCAGATGCCTCGCTGGATGCCCGAATCCTCCATCACTGAAGAGAAACACAGGACAAGGAAGTCAGTTACATTACTGCTCTTACTGCTAGGATCCAAGGCAAAACATTGCGACCACTAGACTGACTTTTCTTGTATGTGTCTGGTTTTTGCATAGCTTTTATTTCGAAAATAAAAGCAGGCTAATCTGACACATGTTAAAGATGTCAACTAATGGGTACTTCCTTTTTTGTTTGTTTAACAGTCACTGGAGTAGTTGGAGAGCTGGAGACTGCTTGGGAGAAAGCAAAAAGGGGGCTAGGAAACACTACATCATTTTTGCATTGCCTCAACATTAGATAAGGTAGGCTTTGGGGTGGCAGAGAGGGGAGAATAAAACTATTCTTTTTTATCAGCCTATAGACTTTCCTGTTTGAAATAGACTTCCAACACTTGGGAGAAGCTCCTCTCCTCCCATTTGAGAACTGGGTGCTGAGAGCTGATTTTTTTTTTTTCTTCTTTTCTTCCAAAGAGGGGAGCAGCATTAGTGAGCAGGCGAGACAGCGGAGCATGGCGAATGGATTTCAAGTGGAGTGTCAGGGCCACTAATTCCATGTCAGCTAACCTTTCTCTGCAGCCTACAAGAAGGGACGTATGTCTGCTCATTACCATAATCCAACACTGTCCCTCTGAGGCTTTAATTAAAAGCAGCAAGCAGAGGTAATTATTTTTTTCTCGACATGCTTATTTATGGATGAGGGTGAATCCCAGTTACCTTGTTATACAAGGGGGTGGATTGAGTCGCATGTGGCTCATGAAGTGAACAGGTACAGGGCAGGCCTGAAATGTCCCCCGTCTGAAACATCATGTGTAATGACTGGTGAATTCTCATTCCCCCAGATACCACGGGGTTTGGGCAAGAGGGGACAGCCCTGCAAGAGTAGTCCTCAGTGGGCTCTCCAGCTGTTTAATCCGCAGCAATTTAGAAGTAATACCCCAATGGAAGATTCTCTATTAAGCTGTCCTAAAAGGACATTTCCCTTCCTACACCACTGGACACCCGTACAAGACTTAGCTTTAAAAAAACAACAGGTATTTTTAAAATTTAAACTAACTGCCTTATTTACTCTTTCTGACTGATCTGAAGGTTTCTTCCAGTTGGTTTTTCCCTGATAATGTCACCACCGGCTGCAATTGATGTACTATTTGTATAATTTAAGTTGTGGAAAAGGGTAGACCTAAATGTTTTCCTGCAAATCTGTTCATTATGGAATAATGTTAGTAATGTCCATTTTTATCTTAATGTCTAATCATCCACTAATCTTGCCAGTGTGATGACAAGTTAGTGCTTTTATTTCTGCTCCACTTAATAGCCTGAAACTTTGGTCAGTCTCTTTATCCATTCCTTCTCCTGCGTTCCCAAATGTCAAGTACTGGGCTGAAATAAGGAGGGAAAAAAGATTCGTAAAGTAGAAACTTTATTCTGCCACACCATTATCTCTGGGCATTTTTAGCCTTCACAAGGTAGCCTTCCTGATTTCCAATTGCAAATTAAAATACATTTTTTTAAAGCAAAAACTAGACCCTCTCATCTTTTCAACGGAATCCTATTCTCCCCTTTTCAATTTCCTCCAATTCAGCGTTTTATGCGCTAATTTCTCTCTCCTTTTTAAAAGTCTTTTTTCACACAAGCGGTTCATTGTGCTGGGAGGTCGCCCTGTCACTTCGGGCAACAGCAGGGACGCCGTCATTAAAATGCGGTTCTACCTAACAATACGGTGAAAAGGTCCTCGCTATGCCGCGCTAATAGCTGTCGGCCGCGGCCGCCACGAGCCTCCAGCCGGTCACAATAACCGCCGGGCACTTGCCTGGGCTCGCCCGCCCGCGCGCGGTTGGCGTTGCCACCCAACCTTTCGCAGCTCTGCGCCCGGCTCCAGGCCCGGGGTTCTCATCTGCCCAGCGCATCCTCCCCGGAGCCGGCAGGGCCATATGCGGCGGGCCCGGCCCCCCCGGGAGCCTCCAGCCGGTCACAATAACCGCCGGGCACTTGCCTGGGCTCGCCCGCCCGCGCGCGGTTGGCGTTGCCACCCAACCTTTCGCAGCTCTGCGCCCGGCTCCAGGCCCGGGGTTCTCATCTGCCCAGCGCATCCTCCCCGGAGCCGGCAGGGCTCGCTGCTGCGGACCGCTCGCCCTCCCCTCTAGGCAGGCATTGTCTGGCGGCCGCGCGGAACCCAGTCCTTGGCTTCTCAGGCAAAGTGCTCCCCACCAGCTCCTCCCTTTGTATAATCTTATTGGCAGCAGAGATCCGCTCAACAATTATTTCCCCCTCTCTTCTGGGTACGAAGGAGAAGGAAGACCAAATGTTTCACTCTTCCCACTAAACCTGCCTTTCCCCCATCCCCCTCCTACACCCATGCAAATAGACTTACCAGAATCAGGTCAGGATCCAATCGCCCAAATAAGGCCACCTGGAACGGGGAAGATGCGATGGAGTGTTTCTTTTTTCCCTATTGTATCAGTGTACTTCCATGTCAAGAGGTGTTGGTGTTGCTGTCTGGTAGGCTCTTCCTAAAGAGAGAAGAGATGGAGAGATGGGGAGAGTGGGGAGAGAGAGAAGCGGAGAGAGTTGTACAGATGGACCCGATGCAGTGACTGACTGGCACGCAGACACACACTTTTTGTTTGCTGCACATAATCTGCCCAATGACGCGTGACAGCCCACGTCCCCTCCCTTTAACTCTTTGCTGGGCTGGGAGCTCCCTCCGGCGCCGCCTGCCTCGCCGCTTTCTCCCGGCCTGCCGGCGCCCCGCAGATCTTGAGCGCCTTCCCGAGTGGCAATGCCTTTCCGAGAGCGGCCCGACTAGTCTCCTCCTGAAGCGTGGGGGTCCTTTGGGACTGCTAGGAGGGTAAAATCCATTTCAGGATCGGAAAGGAAGGTACCGAAAGGACTGGAAAGGGCCTTTTCCCGTTTCGGTAGGCACTTGGAGAGCCTGTAACAGAGACCTGACACCCAGCGCGCTCGCGGACCCTGCGCGTATTTCCCCAGAGTCTTGAGTTCCGCGGAAGTGCGACGGGTGTGGATCAGCCCCCAGAGGTTCTCTGGCCATTCAGCC